TTTCAGATGTGCAGTGCGCCGACGTCTGGGGCTGGCTGTGGTTTGTGATGGGCCCGACCCGCATGGCTTCTCCAGGTTAGCCGACAACGAGGGGGCTCGCCTCAACGCACGGCATACCGCCATGGTGGCAGCGTGGAGACAAGTGTTGACGGAAGCGGGTGGGGCCATACCAGACCGTAACGTTGAACGTCTTCTGAAGGATACCCACGTCCCAGTACCAGCTGGGGACTTACGACGATTGGACCTCATAGTCCCAGGTTTGTCACTTGCTCACGGGGTACCGCTCTTCTGCGAAGTATGCATCCTTTCCCCGATCTCTCGGAACGGCTGCCCCCGGGCAGGGACGAGCAACCAAAGTGGGCGTTTATTGGACAATGAACAACGAGGTTGCGACGACGGGATTGGGGAAACTATTGTCACTTGGATCGGAAGTGTACGGCAGATGGGGGAAACAATCTATCTGGTTGGTTCCCAATTTGGCATCTGAACATACGCGGGGGCTGCACGCGCGCGTACGAAAAGGGGCTGCGTTAGGCTTAGTGCACAGGTGGTGGGGGCTCCTCGGCCTAGCCTTGCAATCCGCTGTGGCGCACGCGGTCTTACATGACCATGCCGACCTACACCAGGCACCGCTGGAGGCGGGGCCAGGTCTGGCCGACCTCGAGGTCGTGTAACCCTCCTCCTCCTCCCTCCTCCTCCTCCTCCTCCTCCTCCTCCTCCTCCTCCTCCTCCTCCTCCTCCTCTCCTCCTCCTCCTCCTCCTCCTCCTCCTCCTCCTCCTCCTCCCTCCTCCTCCTCCTCCTCCTCTCCTCCTCCTCCTCCTCCTCCTCCTCCTCCTCCTCCTCCTCCTCCTCCTCCTCCTCCTCCTCCTCCTCCTCCTCCTCCTCCTCCTCTCCTCCTCCTCCTCCTCCTCCTCTTTAGCTGCTTAGCCGCCGCGCTGTCGCCGCGCTGCTGCCGCCCTTCGTCTTAGACAATTTTCGGGCGTCGCTGCTCTGTCTCACCCGCCGCTTTCGTCGTCACCTGTTGCTGCCTGGGATACTGAAATGAAAACAAAAAAAAATTGCAATCGGTCGTGGTATCTGTGTAATTCGTTTTGTCACGTCGCACAATACGTTAAAAGCAGTCGTGTCTTCCAAATGCAAACTATATTGTTCGTATGATGCGAACAATCGGTTCCGCAGATGCTTTCAGAGAGAATTCCACAAGGGCCGGCGACCCGGCGGCGACCCGGCGACCCGGCGGCGACCCGGCCACCCGGCGACCCGGCGACCCGGCGACCCGGCGACCCGGCGACCCGGCGACCCGGCGACCCGGCGACCCGGCGACCCGGCGACCCGGCGACCCGGCGACCCGAGCGACCCGGCGCGACCCGGCGACCCGGCGACCCGGCGACCCGGCGACCCGGCGACCCGGCGACCCGGCGACCCGGCGACCCGGCGACCCGGCGACCGGCGACCCGGCGACCCGGCGACCCGACCCCGCGACCCGCGACCCGGCGACCCGGCGACCCGGCGACCCGGCGACCCGGCACGACCCCCCCCGGCGACCCGGCGACCGACCCGGCGACCCGGCGACCGGCGACCCGGCGACCCGGCGCGGCGACCCGGCGACCCGCGACCCCCCCGCGACCCGGCGACCCCGCGACCCCGCGACCCGGCGACCCGGCGACCCGCGACCGGCGAACCCGGCGACCCCGACCGGCGACCCGGCGACCGGCGACCGGCGACCGCGACGCCACCGCGACCCGGCCCGGCGACCCGGCGACCCGGCGACCCCGCGACCCGGCGACCCCGCGACCCGCCCGGCGACCGCGGCGACCCGCGCGACCCCCGGCGACCCGGCGACCCGGCGACCCGGCGACGGCGACCCGGCGACCCGGCGACCCGGCGACCGGCGACGACCGGCGACCCGAACCCGACGACCCGGCGACCCGGCGACCCGGCGACCCGGCGACCCGGCGACCCGGCGACCCGGCGACCCGGCGACCCGGCGACCCGGCGACCCGGCGACCCGGCGACCCGGCGACCCGGCGACCCGGCGACCCGGCGACCCGGCGTCCCGCCGACCCCGCGACCCGGCGACCCGGCGACCCGGCGACCCGGCGACCCGACGACCCGGCGACCCGGCGATCTTGTGAATCGGCGACCCGACGATCCGGTGACTCGGCGACCCGACGATCACGATGGTGATGTCGATGATGATGTTGGTGGTGATCATGATGACGTCAATGTTGATGACGCAAACGACGACGACGATGATGATGATGGTGATGATGATGATGATGATGACCCTGGTGATGATGATGATGGCGATGGTGGTGGTAATGATTATGATGGCGATGTTGATGACGATGACGATGATGATGGTGACGAAGACGATGATGATGACAAATGGTAGTATAGTGATTATCGCTGCCAATATCACGGTCGTGACTACGATGGCGATGGTGAGTATGACGATGACGATGGCAATGCTGAGGATGCCGACGACTGTAATACCGACGACCGCACTGGTGATGATGATAACGGTGATGGTCAGCTCGGCGATGATGATGTTGATGGCGACGACGCGAATCAAGACGATGACGCCGACGACGACGACGACGGACGGTGGAGAAGATGATGACGACGAGAAGAATGAACACCGTGACGGTGATGTCGTTCATGATAATCATGTCGACGACGATAAGGATAGCACTGGTGCTGATGCTGCTAGTGATAACCAAATTTGTCGGCGATCGTGGCCGCGATGATAGCTGCGAGGGCTGCGAGGGCGATGGCGAGGCGGCGATGACGACGATGGCGATTATTTTGCCTGGAAGCACGGAGCACCAGAGAACGAGGCCTCGGCAGGACGCCTCGTTGCCTGGACCAGGCAGTGACAATTTGAAGGGAAGTTGGGGGAAGGGGCGGAGGATCGCTCCCGCCGATAATCACAAGCTCGGCCTTGCACGTGGCAGCTAACCTAGCAGAGAGAGCGGCGGGCCCTCCACCCACAGCGTTCTTCGAAGTTTCGGAGGAAGAGACAAGGGATCAGGAAAATGAGGAAAGGTGACCCCCTGCTGTAAATCAGCGCTTTGCGTCGCAGAGCACGCGGATCTCTGCGCGCACTGCTCCTGGAGCGCCGCGCTCTGCTCCACCGCCCCTGCGAGCGCTCACGCTTCTTTCAGGCTGTCGCCCAGCAGCGCGCTCACGCGCTTGAACTCGTCCACGTTGAAGTCGCCCTCCGTGGCTTTCGCGACCAAGCTCTCCTGCAGCTTGCTCTTGGCACGGGCTTGCAACCCGAGCTTCTCCGCGATCTCATTGCACACTGCCTCGGCGTGCACTTGGGGCGGGCCCCGCACGGAGACGCCGCTGTTGCTCTTACCCTGGCTCCACACAGCCAGCCCAGCAGCCGCCAGGAAGCGGAACACCACGCGGAGCGCCGCTTCGACGGTGTCAGCGTTGCCCCTGAAGGAGCTCGCATTCTTGCTCAAGGTGTACGGATCTTGCGACGACTGCAGCACCGACAGCAACATCCTCTTCTTCAGTCCGGCATCTGTCTTGAACTCCTCCGCCTGCAGGGGCGGCTCCATGCGCAACTTCTTCAACGGCCGCGACCCCGATCCCTCAGTCTCATCGACCCCGGACGCAGCTTGGGTTAGTCCCGCCACTCCCTTCGCCTGTTCACCAGGCACCGCCGCCCCCGTTGCCTCTGGAGGCGTCGCCGGGACTACTTGGGATGCGGGGATGGGCTCAAGCGGTACATTATCGGCGTGGGGCGCTTCGATCGACTGCAAGCTCGCGAAGTCCACCGCCTTGCCCTCCAACAGGTCCTTCACGCCACGGCAGAGCCTACGGATGCCAATCCTGCACGTCTTCTTGAATGCTATATGTTCTGTTTCGGTTGTGTTGGGCAACGTTGTCCAGCGTGTTCTATGTTGTTGATCGGTCTATGGACGCGTTGCATTGCGCTAGTCGCTCTTCAAAGATACTCGCACTGCGGTGATTCAAACAACAGGTTGCCATCTATGAGAACCTCATTGTCTGGATCAAACTAAAGGGCAGGATTGGCATTCGAAGCAGGGCCTGTCGGCAACAGAATGGTCACCCGCCACCGAGTCCTCGTCGGCTTCTGGCGCAATCTGCCGCAATTCCTCCATGGATACGTCCGGGTCCCAATCCAGCATCCTGTTGCACGCCTTGACGAAGCTCTCGCTGTCCCGCCTGTACGCTGCGAGGGTCGCGCGGCCTGGGCCCACTGCGAGGAAGCCCATCATGCTCAAGAGGATGAGGTCCACGTGTGCGGCGTGGATCTGGACCTCTGTCGTGCATGGATTCTGCGCGAAAGCCTTCATGTCCCAGTTCTGGGCGACCTTGCGCAGGGTCGTCATGGGGTTTACCCGCGCGCAAACGGCTGGGCTAACAATTTTCTCGATGGACGACAACTTGGCAGGAGGCATGGCTGCTTGCTTGGCTCGGTCCTGCATGAACGTTCGCGCCGTCTCCCTCGCATTGATCGTCATCCGAAAATTGCGCGAGAACCATTCCCCCACGGCTACAGCAACGTCCACAGAGGAGCGTTGAATCCGCCTCCCCCTTCGGGCACAGTGACGCGAGATGCCCTCGGTACCGCGCTCGTCACAGAGGGCCCTCGCAGGCCCGCCAAACTCTCCCGGTGCTTTCTTGCGCTTAATGCATTGTGCTCGCCCTGCCCTTGCAGCGCAGAGTTGCCAACGCGGCCAGGATACCTGCCACTAGCAAAAAGAACGCAACGCCCGGACATCCCCTGATAGATCCCAGGAGACCCCGCGCGTCCGAAGCGGCTGCCAGGCTCTCCAACAATCAATCATTAAATCACTCATTCCCCCTCCCCCCCCCCCCTTCCCCTTGCTCCACCCTTGTACCTCGGCGCGCCCTTCCCTCCACCTTCCATCCGTCCACCATGCCCTTCCTCCTCGCCCCTCTTACTTCCTCGTCCTCGTTAATGCCTTCCCCCCCCTTCTCATTGCCTCATTGACGCCTGCGCGGGCTGGCCCTGGGACCCAGAGGACAAAGGGTTCCGGAAATGCGGCGCTGGCCCCTGAATCTCCGGGGCGACGGCGACCCGGTCCACGGAGTCCACGAAGTCAAGAGGCACCTCGCCCTCCCCGAGGCAGTTCACGATCTCCTCGCCGGTCATCTCCCTGATCATGTCCGGCGTCTTGCCAGCCTTCTGCAGCAAGTAGTCGATGACCTTCTCGCCTATGTCCAAAGGCGGGATGAACTGGAGCGTCCTCGTCATGTCCTTCCGCGCAGTGGCATATCCACTGTCTTCGTCCGCGCCCTTCGACGCGCGCGCCTCCTCCCGCACGTAGTCCGCAGCCGAGTTGAATTGCTTGCGGAAGTGCTCCATCACGTCCTCAGCCCACGGCAGAAAATGCGTCCCACGCACCTTGGAGTACCTGTTCTTCTTGTTCTTCTCGTCCGGGCGCTCCTCTCCCCGTACGTACAGCGCCGAGGCCGTCAGCATAACCTTCCCGATAGCGGTCACTACATGGTCGTATTCCAAGTCGTTGAAGTAATCTGGATCGTCCTCCAGGAGGCGCGCCACCTGAGGTGCTGGTACATCGGGTAGGATCTTGTTCACGACGGCGGTGAAGTGGCCGATCAGGAATCTCATCATGCCTGCTGTTGTGTCGGGCTTCTGTGCTTGCTCGTACACTTCCTCAATGTGCATCATGACCGCACCGCACAAGTGCGGGTTCCGCACCAAGAAACGGTTCTGCGTGTTCCCAGGGTGGTTCTTGTACAGATCATGATCGTGAATCTGGTTCAGATCATCGATGCCGCCGCCTGGCCCGTTGTCGAAGGTCTGCGGTAGCCACGTCTTCCCCTCGTGCAGCGCGAGAAACGCCGTTTCCCCTTGCGCCTGCATGAAGTTCCCGAGACCGATGAAGGTACCCTTGTTGAAGATCGTGTCTTTGGCGTGTTCTTTTGCTGGCTCTGGGTTATTGTCTGGGTCGTCCTTGTGCTTCTGGGCGGCATCCTCGTACTTCTTCTTGGAGCGCCTCTCCCGTATCATGTCGTAGAATCCTAACACCTGCACGTCCAGCCAGAGGGCGACCGATTTTCCGTCGCCAGGTTCGCCATGCTGTAGCATGAGCAAGTTGCAGTGTCGGGATAGTATGCCACCGTACCTGAGTTGAACTGCCCCAAGCGTTGTGGCTACCAGAATCATGAGGTGGACGTAGACACACGAAGCGTGCAGAGATGTCGCCTTGCCCAGCGCCGAGGCCACCTTCCACATGAGTGGCGTCGCCCGGCGCGCAGCTTCTTCGGGGAACGGGTTCTGGTTCTCCAGGATGCGGTACAAGGTCCGGATTTCTCCTTTCGTCATTGCTGGCAACTGTTGGCTTGCGTCTGCGCCGCGACCCGGGCGGCGACCTTTTGGAGCTGCTGCGACATGGTTCGCGGTGAGGGCGACGACGAACAACGCGATGAGCGCGATCCGCTGCATGGTAGCTGTTCCCGTTGAGACTGGGCGATATTTGGACTGAGGCGCAGTGCAGCGATCTCCCGGCGATCCGAGAGAGCCTGATGCTGATGTGGCTGTCGGGACCCCTGGCGGCGGCGATGCGAATGCATGGGTCGATGTTGGTAAGCGCTGATATCGGACCTGATGCGCGCACTCCTCGCGCAACTGATAATATCTGATGATGTTAGAGATGGTGATGATGCGGGCGCCAACGCTGACGGCACGAGCGCGAACGCGGTGGAAACTTGGCAACACAAGTAAGCACGTTCATGTGCAAGAACTGTTTGGGGGGCGAGTTTCCCTTGAGCACTGGAGATGCCACCACATTCTCGGAAGCTCCTGGCGCATCCGACTCCTCTTCCTCCAGACTTCCCTGCCGATTCGGCAAGCGAGACTGCCCTACGAGCACTTGTCAATAATGAGCGTCTCCATCTCAACGCACCATGGACGATGATGATTGCGATGCTGAGTGAACGGGCGCACGCGCAGTAACAGCGATGCCAATCCGGATGTTTTTTGTTGCTCTCGACGCACCTCCAACGCCGCAGTTCCAGTCCGGAGCGCAACGCGCTCCAAAGGGGTCGAAGGTAAAACCAGCTGGCATGCACAAAATCTACGCAATGCAATATGCCACGCCGTGTCAGCGCGGGCCTAGACGCCTACTTTCTAGCAGTCCCCGCACGTTGAGGTGCCCCACTCTCCCGGCGCTGCATGGGCCCCGCCTCGCAACGCCTGCGCTCGCATGCCGCTTCTCGCTCGAGCCATTGGTTGTGGGCGTCAAAAAGGATCCACCAGTGCATCTGGAAGTGCCCCCGCGTCATCTCGAGGCCACTCCGTGTCCTCCCGCTGATCCAAGAGTTCAACTGCTCACATGCCTCCGTGTTTTTCTTGTCCAACAACTTGGCATTATCTGGCCTCAGGGGGTCCACTTCTGGCATGTTGTTCAAACACCAAGTGTGGTTGTCCCGGTGGAACCTGTCCAACACCATCCGCACTTCCTCCACGAAAGACTTCGTCCATGGTAGGAACTGCGTTTCCTTCGCCCGGGCAAGTGACAGAAGCTTGCACGCATTGTCGTACCCCAGGGCCGCAATGACGAAGCCCAGCTCGCGGCCATCCTGCCCGATCGATGCCAGCGCCAGCGCGCTCTGCTCAGCCCGAGCCCCGCCCATTCCCGAAAAGAGATGCATCCATGCGTGCATGTCTTCATTCCTTCATCTCTCCCCCCTTTTTCCTCATCTCGCCCCTCCCCCCCCCGCCCCCCATCCCCTCCTTTCCCTCCTTCCCCTTCCCTCCATTTCCGCCTCTACATCCCCCTATTGCGCCCTTTCACTATCCCTCGACCCTTCGACCCCCCCCCCCCTCCACGCTGGCCGAAGTGGGGGGGGCTCGTGACATGAGCAGAACCTCGGGCGTCGCCATCCGTCCTTGTGAAGCCGCAGCGCGAACGCATATAGCAGCTCGATGGACTCGCCCCGGAAGAGCTCCATCCAGTCCACCAGCATGCCGCACGATGTTACTGCTGTCACGATGCCTCCAGTGCAGCGTCTGACTTTGTTGCTCCCGTGGAGTTTGTCAACGCCGCACGCCTGGATAGCTTCCTCCTGCTTGCTGTCCAGAGAAAGCCATCCCTTGCAGCGGCTCCTCAATGAGTGGGCACTGCTTGCGCTGCTGCTCACATCGGCCGCCGCCGGCCGCTTCTTCGACTTGGCTGGAGCTGACCGCTTCGGTGCCGTGGCCAAGGCCCCGCTGGCACTCCCTCTTCCTGATCGGCGGGAAATGCCCGCGGCCTTGCCCTTGCCACTCCTGACCGCCTGGGCAGCCTTCCGGGCAGGCGCCCGAGAAGCAGAGCCACGCCGAGCCTTCTTTGCCCCGCCCCGGGCGCCTGCGCCATTGCTCGCCGCGACCGAGCTGGCCGGCTCACAAGCCGGCGCCTGTTTCCTCAGCCAGCGCGCAAATTGCCGGCTTCCCTTGATCCACGCCGGGCGCGACTTCTTGTTGCCGTGATCGCCCCGGCTCCGAAGCAGCGACTTCTCGAACTTCGCCAACAAGTCCTTCTCCACCTCGGCTCGCGGCAAGTGCACCTCGAAGGGGCGTTCTGGCAAATCGGGGTCGTAGCAGCTCACCACGTACCGCAGCGCGGAGTCGCCGTCAGCGGCCGGTCCTGGAGGAGCGACGCCCAAGATCTCCTTCTGGGGTAGCAAGTGCGCTTGCTCTATCTTGGACGGGCGGCAGAACTTGCAAAAGAATTGTTTCGTGGGGGCATTCCGTTGGCAGCCAGTGTACAACTCCAACTCCAGGCCCTCCATGGGTTCATAGCCCTCCAAGCCGCCGCAGATGAATCGGCGGGCGCCGTGCTTGCCATCAAGCAACACCACGAGCTTGTCAACGCATTTCGGGCACGTCCGCACGTGCTCCGCGATGCGCGCCAGGTGCGCCCTTCGCACGCATGCCGCAATATTCGTAAGGGCGCGCTCTATTCCGCTCTCCGTGAAAGACCACTCAATACTCTCAGCGTTGGCTCCTGCCAGACGAATTGCATTGTGCATGTACCAGGCGTCCTCCAGACGCACGCGCGTGTTGTCTGTCTGCGTCATGAAGTCGCCCAGGATGAGGTTTTGCTGCTCGCGCCCTGGGTGCTGCTTGGCCCACACGTGGATGGCAGATGTGAACGTGCCTCCGCTGTGTTGCAAATCATCAGTTATGAACTGCAACAGCTGCAGGTCCACCGCGTACCACGCTTTCTCCCGGGCCACCACGACGTACGGCAAGGCCGCCTTCGTGGACACGGCGGTGATGCCAGACATCTTGCCGAAGTTTGCGCGACCGCCGATGCCCGCATTCTTCTTGTACATCCAATTGCCGACGAAGTAGCACTTGCAGGATGGACAATACTCCTCACGGAATCTACAATACTGGACCCCTGCGCCGAGAGTGTAGATTCGGAAACGGAAGTCCTGCGAAGCAGAAGCCGCGCCCCGTTCTTCCCATTTGTTCCCAATGCGGCCTCTGCTTTTGTCTGGCTGGATCACCAGATCACTATTTTCGCATTTCGGGCATTGGCCGTGTGTTGACGAGAGAAGTACAGTCTCCGACTCGGGGCACAACTCCTGCATCTCCTTCAATGCTGGATGATTTAAGTCGTGCTCCCTGGTATTCCCAAATCCCACGTACGACTGCAGCTTCCACAATACATTCTTGATTGCGTTATCTGCAGCCTCGACCTTCAGTTCTTTGCGTAGCAGCGCTCGCACAAAAGGCGGAGCCAATTCGTTTGGCATGCATGATTGCACGCGTGCCACGACCCTAAAGGCAGCTGCAGGTAACGGATGCATTAGTGTACTGAATGAGAAATCTTTCCCCGCCTCCCCAGCCATCTTCGCCAGTCCCCGCTCCGCGTTGGAAAGGGAGCGACAGCGCAGCGCGCGCGTGCGCGCGGGCGCAACCTTGACACGTAAAGTGGCTCCCTAGTGACAGGGGCGATGATCATGATGGCGGCGCGGGCAACGATGCTGGCCCTGGTGACGACGACAACGGCGACAGACGCGACAATGGAAATGACGATGGTTACAACGATGATGGTGTTGACGATGGTCACGAGAATGCTGAACCTCATTCTTATCATGATGATGGTAATGATGGTGATGATGGTGGTGGTGGTGCCGACGATGGCTTTCGCTCTGGTTCTGGATTTGGGTTCTGACTTCTTTGTGCCTCTGCAAACGGTATGGGTACAACTCTGGCTGTTGGTCGGGCTCTGCTTTTGCCTGTCGCCCCGGTTCTACCTGCGGCTCTGTTTCTGGATTTCGGTACGGACCCCTCGCTGGCACTGCTTCTGTCTCTTGTTCTGCTCATGGTATTGGTCCTGGTTCGGGTTCGCCGTTGGATCGCGGTACTGGTTCTGGTTCATTTTTCCTTTGGTTCTGGCTCTGCTTCTAGCTCTGGTCCTGGCTTTGGAACTTGCTCTAGCTCTGGCTGTCGTGATCATTCTCTGCTTTTGGTTCTGGTTCCGGCTCTGGTTCTGGTTCTGGCTCTGGTTCTGGTTCTGGTTCTGGCTCTGGTTTTGGTTCTGGCTCTGGCTCTGGTTCTGGTTCTGATTTTGGCTCTGGCTCTGGTTCTGGTTCTGGTTCTGGCTCTGGCTCTGGTTCTCGCTCTGGCTCTGGTTCTGGTTCTGGTTCTGGCTCTGGTTCTGGTTCTGGTTCTGGCTCTGGTTCTGGTTTTGGCTCTGGCTCTGACTTTGGTTCTCGTTCTGGCTCTGGTTCTGGCTCAGGTTCTGGTTCCGGTTCTTGCTCTGGTTTTGGTTCTGGCATTGTCTCTGGTTCTGGTTCTGTTTCTGGCCCTGGCTCTGGTTCTGGTTCTCGTTCTGGCGCTTGTTCTGGCTCTGGCTCTGGTTCTGGTTCTGGTTCTGGCTCTGGTTTTGGTTCTGGCTCCGGTTCTGGTTCTAGTTCTGGCTCTGGCTTGGGCTCTGGTTCTGGTTCTGGTTGTGGCTCTGGTTCTGGTCCCGGCCCTGTCTCTGGCACTGGCTCTGGTTCTGGTTCTGGCTCTGGCTCTCGCCCTGGTTCTGTTCCTGCCTCTGGTTCTGGCTCTGGTTGGCTTTAACAGTGGTCCTGGTTATGGTCCAAGGTCCTGCCTCTGGCTCTGCTTTTGTTGTATATATTCTCAGCTCTGGCTCAGGCTCTGGTTCTGGCTCTGGTTCTGGCTCTGGTTCTGCCTCTGGCTCTGGCTTTGGTTATAAGTTTGGCTCCGGCTCTGGTCCTGCCTCTGGCTCTGGTTCTGGTTCTGGCTCTGGCTCTGCTTCTGGCTCTGGCTCTGGTTCTGGTTCTGGCTCTGGCTCTGGCTCTGGTTCTGACTCTGGTTCTGGTTCTGGCTCTGGCTCTGGCTCTGGTTCTGGCTCTGGGTCTGGTTCTGGCCCTGCTTCTGGTCATGGCTCTGGCTCTGATTCTGGCTCTTGCTGTGGTTGTGCCTCTGGCTCTGGTTTGGGTTCTGACTGTGGCTCTGGATTTGATTTTGGTTCTGGCTCTGGTTTTGGTTCTGGCTCTGGCTGTGGTTCTGCTTCTGGTTCTAGTTTTGGCTCTGGCTTGGGCTCTGGCTCTGGCTCTGGTTCTGGTTGTGGTTCTGGTTCTGGCTCTGGCTCTAGTTCTGGCTCTTGCTATGGCTATGGTTCTGGTTGTGGTTCTGGTTCTGGTTCTCGCTCTGGTTCTGTTTCTGCCTCTGGTTCTGGCTCGGGTTCTGGCTTTAACGGTGGTTCTGGTTATGGTTCTTGTTATGGGTCAAGGTTCTGCTTCAGGCTCTGCTTTTTGTTAAATCTGTTTTGTCTCTGGCTCTGGCTGTGGCTCTTGTTCTGGCTATGGTTCCAGTTCTGGCTCTGGCTGTGTCAATGGTTATTCTGTGGATCTGGCTCTCGTCCTGGCTCTGGCTCTGGTTCCAGTTCCAGCTCTGGCTCTGGTTCTGGCTCTGGCTCTGGCTCTGGTTCTGGCTCTGGCTCTGGTTCTGGCCCTGCTTCTGGTCATGGCTCTGGTTCTGATTCTGGCTCTGGGTGTGGTTGTGCCTCTAGCTCTTGCTCTGGGTCTCGTTCCGGCCCTTGTTCTCGATCTGTTTTTGATTCCGATTCTGGCTCTGGCTCGGGTTCTGTCTCTTGCTCCGGCTCTGGCTCAAAAGCCCGAGGACGACGGAAACCTCCAGACCCTTGTCCTTCGGGGCCGTTTTCCTTCCGGAGGAGGCAGGGCGCCGTCCGCCGGCTGGCGCTCGCCAATTTGCGCGGCTGCTGGCCGCAGCGAAAAGTCCCGGAGATGACCCCCAGCGGCGGCGCGCACCCGCGACCGGCCTGGAAAAAATAACTGCTCAAAAACCTCGTGCACCAGCCATCCTCGCAGCCGCCCTGTCGCGGTGCTCGTCTCCCCCCTCATCCTCTGCGTTCTCTTCCTCCTCCTCTTCCTCCTCCTCCTCCTCCTCCTCCTCCTCGTCCTCCTCCTCCTCCCTCCCCCCCCATCTGCCTCCTCCCCCCTCTCCCCCACCTCCCCTTGCCACCCCCCGCCGACAGCCCGCGCTTCCGCGGCCTCTTTGGCTGCTTGCGGGGGTTCCTCAGACAGCGGCGCGGTTCAGCTTCTCGCGGAGCAGCTTATCGCGGCGATGGTTCCCGCGCGCTTCCCTGCGCTGCTGCGCCGCCTCCACGGCGGCGCAGCGGTCCTTCGCCTCCTGGACGCCCATGCCCAGGCGCCCCGCCAGGGCAGTGCCCTGCGCCAAGTGGCCGGCACGGAGCACCCGCACCGCCTTCATCACGAGGACATCTTTCTTCTTCTGGTCCGCGACATCCGCCGGCGCGGGCTTCGTCCACGCGGACTCCAACGTGTCGGCGTTATACCACACGAGGTGGCCGTTCGCCACCGTCGCCTTCTGCGACCACGCCGTCTCGTCCAGCCACGCCTCCAAGTCGGCTTCGAAAGCGACCTCCTGCTCCGTCTGCTGCAGAGCATCGCCTGACACGACGCGAAACGCGGGCGGCACGCGAGGGGGGCGCGCGCTCGGACCAATCCAAGGCGAACCAAGCATAAGTCTGAGCGCGCTACTCCCCCTGCTGACAGCCGCTCGTTTCGCGCCGTGCGGCCTGTCAAGTGTTCGTACGGATCCCGCTGGGGGCCCTGCTTCTCCGCGTCCTCCTGCTGGCCCTTGTTATTCTCCGTCTCTTCCGCGTCCGGCTTGGGGTCGCAGGTCTTCTTCTCGCGTTCCTGCTCTGCGTCCGTTGCGTTGCTCTGCGGCTTCCGCTTGCTGTCGTCCTTTTGCTGGCGCTGCTCCTGCTCCCCATTCCTCTTCTGCCCCCGCTCCGTCAAGTTGTCCCGCGGCTTCTGGTCGCGGCTGCGCTCCTCCTTCTTCGACCCCTCGCCCGAGTGCTTCTGCCGCTTCCAGTCCGCGCCCTCTTCCCCCTCCCTGTCCTCCCTCCGCCGGGTTTTGTCGCTGCTCCAAGAGGTTCCCGCGTGCGTCTGCCAGTTCTCCTGCGGCTGCTCCGAGGCGCGCGACGCGCGCGACCACCCCTGCGTCGGACTGTGGGGCCCCGCGGGGAAAATGCACATTCCAGAAACACGCCAGGCACTGCGACGGATTCTTTACTTCGTTTACTGCCCGTCACGGGCGTGCTCACGGGGGGCCCACGACCGCGAACGCGAACGCGACCGCGACCGCGACCGCGACGACGACGACAACGACGACGACGACAACGACCACGACGACGACGACGCGACGACGACGACGACGACGACGACGACGACGACGACGACGACGACGACGACGACGACGACGACGACGACGACGACGACGACGACGACGACGACGACGACGACGACTGCAACGCCAGAGACGACGACGACGACGACGACGCGGGCGGCCCCCGGAATATGCCGGAGGCTTCCGAAGACTCTGGCCGAGAGGGGGGCGATCACGAGCATGATGGCCCCGCTCTGTCTCTTCTGCCTCCGCCCATCGCGGCCCCTGGCGCGCTCCAGAAAGTGCGATCAAGCACCTTCCTCCCCGGGACGCCCGCCCGCCGACACCTCGCCCCAGTTGGCCCTCGACCACGACGTGCTCGTCCACGACGCACTCGACCACCGCGCGCCCGACCACGAGGCCCAACCGCCGCCGCGCGGCCAGGTGTGGCCGTGCCACTCCTCACTCTTGTTTTTCCCCAGCTCGTCCTCCGGCGCCCGCTTCCCCGCGCCCCAGTTGTCCGGCGCGTTCCTGTCTTTGCCGACCCAGCTCCCGCCCTTGCTCTGCCGGCCCCCCTTGTTGTCCTGCGCGGGCCCCTTGGACCGCTCCTCCCTCTTCTCCCGGGGCCCCCTCTCCTTCGCGTCCGCCGGGCCCACGGCAGCGCGCGCCGCGACGCCCATCTCTGGACCAGCTCGAACGTACCACATCTCCTCGTCGTCGCCGTCGTCGTCGTCGTCGGCTGTCTTTCGTCGTTCGTCGG